GGCTCAGGGCGCTGGGGCTCAGGTTGCGGAGGCCCTGGGCAGGGAGGCCTTGTAGCTTGGGGCCTGGGGCTCAGGTGATGAGGTTTGTGGCTGAAGGAAGGCTGTGGATTCATGCTGTGGGTGCCTTGTCTCAAGAATGGGATTGCACATAGTTCCTTCCCACCTTGTGCCAAAGCAACCCCCTGCCCCTCATTCCGCATCTCCTGTGGGGAGAGGAGACATACTTCATCCTTCACTCCATCTGGGACCAGCCCCACACTGGATCATCCCTCTGACAAGACCCCTTCACCATGAACTGCCCTGGCTACTTAGAGTCCCATGGTGTAGCCTGTCTAGCATGTGTGTGTAAGGGCTGGGACCAAGGGGGCGACAGAGACAGACTCCACACAGAGGGCCCTGATCTCAGAAACATGGGTCCGTGGACATGGAGGAGATGTCTGCCTTTTTAGCCCCCTTTCATGAGTTTTCCTACTGAGCAGGCAGCAGGGCCTATGATTTTATATTTTGCATATGTATGTAGACATGCCAGTAGGTGGATTTTTTAAAACTGAAAAATAAATACGTGTTGGATGTTCATAAATAAGGCCCAGCACCAATCCTCATTAGTCACTGCTCAGTTTGGAAACATCTAATGAGGTACTGTCCGTGAAGGCTGCCTTTATTGTTCGTGGAGTGACTGGTTTATCGGGGGAGCTAATCCGCTTTGCCTCCGGTGCCAGGATTTTCAGAGCAGTGTCTCCTGACATACAAAGAGTTGACTAAATCATTTTGTGGACAAGGATCCACACAGCGATTTCCCCGAAGGCCCCAGGAGAAATAGAAGCTTCTTGGACTATTTGAGGTCTCGCAAACCCCAGACATTGTTGATGTGCTGAATGCCCCACCCCCACCCAGGGCACTCTTGCTCTCAGATGGTGTGGTCAAGGCTGCACTAGCCACCAGTTTTCCCAGAGCTGTCAGCGTGTTAGTCTTTGGGGCACTCATTTTCTGAGGTGCTGAGCAGCCCCAGCTTCCACTCATTTTAGGAGCTGTGGCTGCTCCTCACTTTGTATTAGCTTTCTTTTTCTAGAGGTCTGTGAAATCCTCAGTCCCTGATCGGACTAGAGACTGACTCCTTTGTAATACCCAACCTAAAGGATTAGTGTCTCACAATCAGTGTGATAAATCAGGGAACTGAAATCATGCAGTTTCACTCCCTTCCTTCTTTGGCACCACATTTACTAACTTTTCACTGATGTCCAAAACTGTTTGTGCTCTTGCCTGCCAATATAGCAGCTGCTTGTTGCAAAATGTTCCCTATAAGCTATGTGCTTGTGTGGCCGTTCAGAAAGATTCATATGCCGCCCTGCTGATGAGCAGAGTGCCCACAACTAGGTTTTGAGTTTCTGTAAGTGGTGCATATTTGCAAATGCCTTGGTGCACATAAGATTTATTCAACACTTGGATGGAAAAAATCTGCCCATTAATAATGGAACAAATTAGAGGGAATATTGGTTGTTGCCTCTTATACAAAAAACAGGACTATGTAGCACTTTAAAGACTAACAAGATGGTTTATTAGATGATGAGCTTTCGTGGGCCAGACCCACTTCCTCAGATCAAATAGTGTCTTGAAAGTGCTACATAGTCCTGTATTTTGTTTCAGCTACACCAGACTAACACGGCTACATTTCTATCACTATCTTGCCTCTTATATTTCACTGAATACTGTTGGGGTGGGGGTTACTGACAATCTGGAAGTCTAAGCCAGAACAATATTAGTAGCATATCTGCAAATAAAAGAATGTTGAGATATTTAGTAGCTGAAAGCTCCCAAGGAACAAAAAGTAAAACTTCAATCACAGATGAAGAGACGGAGTAGTCAGGTGGTTAGAGCTCTAGGGAATCAGGACTGCTAGATCTTTCCTCAGCTTTGTAATTGAATTGTAGCATCATTGAGAGCAAGTCACTTAATCATTGTTTTAACCATCTGCAAAATGAATATATCTGCATGACAGGCATCTTGGGAGGCTTCACTTGTTTCAGGCATTCATTATTACTAATATACTGAATGCCCCTCTTACCTTGTTTGTTTTAGAGAATTATGCTCTTTTATGTTCACATTTCAGATTGGCAACAATACTTACATACACACCTACCTTATCCCAAAAAGGCCTTCCATTAGCAATTTTACTCCCCCACCTACCTAAACAGTTCTGTAAGTGTAAAAGAAAACCCTCTGATTGTGTGTCCCCTTAGGAATTTCCTATGAGGGTTTATCAGTTCCCTCCCACTGTCAGATCTCCACATTTTAAAATGTAGAACTGGATTTAGGCAATAAGAAATTTCTAATGCCATCTAGTGGTAGATGGAGGTTTATATATTTCAAGGAATCTGCAGAATGGCTGAATTCATTAGTTTTTAAGAACTGCTTTCAACAAGTTTCACTGTTTTCCCTCAAGTATCTATTAACAAGGTATGTGAAAAGAATGTTTACAGTAGTGACAGTGTGATGCTTTGGGTTTCTCCAAGGGCAGTGATGGGTTCTGTGATGCCCTGCCCCGGAATCCTGAATGCCTTTGTGCTGTGCAGCTTTGACTCCAGCCGCCTGCCCACAGCACAATAGCCTCTCCCTGGCTTCTGGCAGCCTGGTGACACCACTGCCAGCCCTCCCAACCCCAAATTTCCCCAGTCCCCTAAAGCTCTCAGCCATCTTCTCCACTGCAGTGCGCACACTCACATATCCAGTTCACTGCTTCCTTAAATAGACAATCCCTAGCACCAGCCTGTTGGCGTGGCTGATGATTTTACATTTTCAGTTTAGAGCACTGAATTGAAATAACACCAGATAAAGTTTGTGAGCAAAGAACAGAGACTTAAGTCATACCAAGTGAAGGAATCGAGATAGAAATGATTACAAACACAAGTTAAAATGTGCTTTTACTACAACCTCACTGAACAATCTAAAGTCTTGGATTCTCACCTAGATTCGGTATCTGGAAACGTATCTTCCAAAGCTCAGTGACATTGCTTTAGGGGGCAGGAAGGTTTCCTGGAGCTGCAGCTTCCATGACCCTTTGTCTACGAAGGTTGCCAGATGGTTTAACCAAAAATACCAAACACCCCAACCACCACCACCCCCAAAAAAAACCCACCAGGGGAAAAATTCTTATGAGAAAAAAAAGAGGGAGATCAAAGTTGTTGAGGAAAAAAAAACAGCATGGCCCCTTTAAGAAAAGCCATTGAGCCTTTTTTTGCTGGCAGCCATCTTGTTTTCCTGATCTGAGCCAGAAGACAGTTCTGCGGAACCAGATAAGCGGGCGATGTGAGGTGGGCCCAGTTGCTGAGTGTGTGTAGGGTTGCCAGGTGTCTGGTATTTTTGGTTCCTGGCAGGGAAAAAAAATCAGAAAAGACTGGACATTTTAGGTGTCTGGTGTTTTCTGAATTTTTTTACTGGACAGGAGGCAAAAATACCGGACTGTCTGGGTCAATACTGAACACCTGGCCACCCTATGTCTGCTATCTTTGTCTACTTTGCATGTAAATTGGTCTCTCCTTGATCAGTTTACATTGGAAACACATTCAAGCAGGTGAAGCCATGTTCCTTTGTCCTTTCACTTTAAGCCAGAATGACCAAACCTATTTTAAAAACATATTTCTATTTTTCATATATCACCCATCCGCAAATCATGAAAAAATATTGACCAGCGTGTTGTCAGTTTACATCTGATACCTTACATGACACCTTTTAAAGATAGGCTGTGTCAACCATCAGTTGGGATATGTTGAGAAGGCCAGGTCAGCTGAGGCTCACTGCTACATACCAGGCAGTCTCTTGCTTTCTGGCATTGGGGTGCTCTTACAGTCACAGACATATATTGTAAGATTCAACCCAATGTCTAGCAATGCTCGTAACAGGCAGTGTAGAATATATGGTATATTACCCAAGTCAAAAAACATCACCGAAGCAGAGCTAAGGTTCAAAGTGTGTTTCCGTGGCGTCCGGTGAATGCCCAAAAAGCAATTTTACATTCTTGTTCAGAATTATGGCTGACTGGATATGCAGTCATTACAAAGGGTAGTATTTACCAAAGGAATGTAAAACCAAATACACAGTAGAACCTTAGTTTTATGAACATCAGTCTTATGAAGCATTTTTTCCAGCTTTGGTGGAGGAAGGGAATCATATAACTGATGTGATGTTGATGAAGAACAAGTTGGGGTGTGTCTAAACTACACCCCTCTGTCGGGAGAGGGATGTAAATTAGACACAACGAAAGTGCAAAAGAAGCGGGGATTTAAATATCCCGTGCTTCATTTGCATAATGGCGGCCGCTGCTTTTTTTTTTAAATGGGGCTTTTTGAAACCCCACCAGCAGTTTAGATGGGGGCATTTTCGACAGAAATGCCCCATTTCCAGTGATCCTGTAATCCTCACTTGGAGGTGTTGATTTTTATGAACTCTTCTATCCCCATTTAGTTTTCTGTTGCTTGCAAATGTTTCACTAATTTATTGACCCTGCTCTTCAGTCTTACAACACTGTACATATACTGGATATATCTGGTTTCAGGAAAGCTTTTGATGCAGTGTTGCATGACATTCTCTTAAACTAGGGAAATGTAGTCTAGATTAAATTATTATAATGTGGGTGTACCACTGGTTGAAAGACTGTACTCAGGAATCACTGGAAAAACTTAAAAAGCAACAAATAGTCTTTCAGCGCCTTAAAGACTAATAAAACATTGTAGATGGTATCATGAGCTTTCGTAGGCACAACCCACTTCTTCAGATCAATGTAGTTATTAAAGGGAATGGGAGGGGGGGAAAGAAGGAAAAAACGGGGGGAAATAGTCAATTAGAGTCTCCATGGCTACATCTAGACTGCAAGCCTCTTTCGAAAAAGAGCGTCTAGACTGCAAGCAGTACTTTCGAAAAAGCAAGCCGCTTTTTCGAAAGAAAGCACCCAGGCAGTCTGGATGCTCTCTTTTGAAAAAGCCCTGTTTGCATTCAAGAACGCCTTTTTTCGAAAGAGCATTTTCGAAAAAAGGCGTTCTTCCTCGTGAAATGAGGTTTTCCACCATCGAAAGAAAAGCCGCGTTCTTTCAATTTAATTTCGAAAGAACGCAGCTGTAGTCTAGACGCAGGTGAAGTTTTTTAGAAAAAAGGCTACTTTTTTCGAAAAAACCCTTGAGTCTAGACACAGTCCATGAAGCTGATAGAGAAGTTGCAAATTGTTCTTAAGTACCCATTGTTTGGTTTTTATGTCATTAGGATGTGGAATGTAGTGGGCCATCCAGCCAATGTCTTTATTTATACCTTTATTCAGGAATCACTGTCAGTCTTGGAAAATGTGTCTAGTGGGAATCCTACTGGGGTCTGTCCTTGCTCTGGTACTGTTCAACATTTTAATTAATGTCTTGGGTGATAGAGTGGAGAGCATGCTTACAAAATCTGCAAATGAAATACCAAACTGGAAAGAGTTGCAAGCACTTTGGAGGACAGGACTGGAATTCAAAAGGACCTTGACAAATTGGAGAATTGGTCTGAGTTCAAGAATATGACAGTCAATAAAGGTAAGTGCAAAGTACTACAATTAGGAACAAAAAATCAAATGTTCAAATCCAAAATTGGAAACAATTGGCTTTGAAATAGTGCTTCTGAAAAGGATCTGGGAGTAATAGAGGATTAGAGATTGAATATGAGTCAACAATGTCATGCAATTGTGAAAAAGGCTATTCTGGTGTTTGTTAACAGGAGTGTCATATGTAACACATGGCAGTTAATTGTCCTACTCTGCTCAGCACTGGTGAAACCTCAGAGTGGCTCTACTGTGTCTAGTTCAGAGTGCCCCACTTCAGGAAAGATGTGGACAAACTGAAGATAGTCGAAGCGTAATAAGAATGAAGTACGGTTTGGAAAACCTGACTTAGGAGAAGAGGTTAAAAAACTGGGTGTGTTTAGCTTGGAGAAAAGAAGAACGAGGATAGCAATGGAGATCAATTGTTCTCTGTGCCCAGTGGAGGAAGAACAAAAAATACTCAGCCTTTGAAGAGAGACTGAGGGATCTGAGTTTGTTTAGTCTGCAGAAGAGAAGAGTGAGGGGGATTTGATAGCAGCCTTCAACTTCCTAAAGGGAGGGTCCAGAGAGGATGGAGAAAGGCTGTTCACAGTAGTGACGGGTGGCAGAACAAGGAGCAACGGTCTCAAGTTACAGGTTGGATTTTAGGATAAACTATTTCACTAGGAGTGTGGTGAAGTACTGGAATGGGTTACCTAGAGAGGGGGTGGCCCATGCACCCTGGGAGGGGCAGGCCCACACCCCACAGGCGGGCCCGCGCACGCACCATGCGCCCGGGGGTGGTACCACGTGCCCGGGCCCAGGGCGCCAAAAGGGCTTGGGCTGACCCTGGCCTTGGACAGGGGGCTGGACTTGATGACCTCGTGAGGTCTCTTCTCTATGACTCTATGATTCTAATCTGCAGCAATGGAAATCTAAGTCTGATATTAAGAAAAACTATCTTAATGTTCTAAGTAAAAGGCTAGTTTAGAGGAACAGGATCCTTAGGGAACAGGATCCTCCGTTCATTGGAGGTGTGACGGTAGAACAGACTGTGGGCTGGGCCCAGCTGGCTGAAAGAGCCCCTCCCCCACGGCACTACCGGGCATGCTCACAGGCGCGCCTGAGTATAAAAGGCAGCTCACTTGTGGTGGACAGCAGAAGGGGGAGGACCTGCTGAGAGAGCGCCAGAGTTAGATGCAGCCTGAGCCACTGTGGTGACAGCCACAGCCCAGGGGACATTCTGGAGGTACGGCGATGGGGAGATGTGGGGTAGTAGGTAGTGGCCCGGGGGGGGAATTGCCCCCCAAGTGCTCAGCGTGTTGTGGTGGGATTCCCTGCTGAGCAAGCAGCGGACTGAGCCTCTGGTGACAGGGCCCTGGGCTGGGACCCTGTGGAGTGGGGGGGCCTGGGGCCCCCTACCCCCACTGCAGCGCTCTGGGATGGGGGTAGTTTCCCTTGGGCCTGTAGACTAGGCCTCAGGGCTGTATTGCCCCAGTACAGAGGGATTGCTATCCAGGCCCTGAGCCGTATTAAAGCCCGTAGAGGGGAGTGCTACTCGGGACTCTGTGGTCAGGCCGTATATACCCTGGTGAGGGGGAACTGACTCTGGCCATTGGGCCGTGTGGACATTGATAAGTGGACGCTGGGGGGGCTTTGACTGTGGGATCCCACCCGAGGGGGGGTGTACCCCTGGCCAGGAGTTTTTTAAGAACAAGTGAGATAGAAATCTGTCAGGGATGGTCTGGCTTTACTTGGCCCTGCCTCAGTGTGGGGATATGGACTAGGGATGTACGTTTCGGTCAAAACAGTTAAATGGTTAAAGTTACAATTGTATTGTTTACGTGGTTAGCCATTAATGGGCTGACACGGCAGATGGGGTTGGTGTCCCACCAGGGCTATGGTGATCGGTGGGGAAGGCTCGGCAGGAGCTTCTCCAGGCCAGCCTGCCCACTGCGGACAGGGACGGGGCTGAGGTCTCACTTGCCTGCTCAGGCCATTCTGGCTGGGGTCCTGCCTGTCCAGTGGGGCCACTCTAGCATGGATAGGACCAGGCTGCCTGCCTGCCAGGACCACTCTGGCCGTGCTAGGGTCTTGCCTGCCGGCCAAGGCGGATCCAGCGCAGCTGGGATCATGCCTGCCTGCCACATGGAGAGCTGCCTGACCACCAAGGCTGCTGCAGTGCATCTAGGACCAGGATCTCTCCTGCCCACCGTATAGCCCTGCCTGCTGCCCCGACATGGTGAGGCTCCCTCCAGATGGCCTGGTGTGGCTGGGTCCACTTTGGCCTGGTATGGCTGGTCATCCCTTGGGGGTTGGTTAACTAGTAATCATTCTGATACTGTGATTTCTAGAACTCTTTCCATCCAAGGACGCTGCTTAAAAACAGTAGTTAATTAAAGCTTCACAACATGGGCTATATGAGGATCACTTTATTTCTCCTGAAATACCTCCGCTGGGTAATGGCATGCTCCAGTTTAGGACCAAAAGTGAATGTATATCTAATTGCAACTCCCGGGGGAATTTGGGAAGAACAAACATAATTACCAGAGACTGAATTCAGTTAAGAAGATGCAGTTGGATGCCTGTACTTGTGTGACAAGTATTAGAAGAGCTTTAATGAGCACAGAGCTCAGCAGTTTGGTATTAAGATTACTATTTTGTCACCAAAGTCGCAGAATCTGTGATTACCAAAGACCTCAGTGGCTTCAGCCCACAGGCAGCTGGGAATGACTGGGCCTCTCCTGGCTATAGCTCCCAGGGTGTGATAGCAGACTCCTTCCCCAGTGGCCCTCTTCAACACTTGCCTTGCAGGCTCTGTACCAGCCCAGCCTACACCTGCTCAGCTGAGCTCTGTCTTCTATTAGCGTTGCCTGTCCAGCCCAGTTCTCCCCCAGGTGCAGCCCGTTAGGCTAACTGGCTCCTTTCTAGCGGCCTTAGTTCTTTCAGGTGAGATGTGAACAGCCCCACGTGCTCAGAGCACAAAATGGCTGCCCCACTCTGGGCAGCTGAATCCTTAGCTATTGAACCACACAGACCAGGGCAACTGAGAGCTGTGACCTGGGGCCTCTTGCTGTGGACATGCACAGGCCATCAGTGTCTAGAGCTGTTAAATCTGGCATTTCCTCCTCTCATGCTTTCCCAACAGGTAGAAATGGTGCGTGTGGCTTGATTGGCTGGGAGACAGGCTGTCTTGTGAATAGTCTCTTCACAGTAAGTAAGGGCGTATCCTCCTCTCGGTCTTTCCTGGAGTCTGTCTCTGGGGCACCCTACCGGGCTCTCCCTCGGTCCTACGTCAGCCTCTTCTTCTAAGAAGAGAGCGTACTGGGTCTTGTTCCTCTGGCTGCATCGCACAGACACCTAACCCGCTTCCGGAGCAGTGCAAACCGGTCCAAACAAACAGCCCTTCTGCTGCTCTCAGACTTCACCGTGGTTCCCTGGCTGGCTCTACCTGAGGGCTCTCCGCTCATGAGCCTAACCTGCTTTGGCCGTGTGTGTCCTACTGGTTCCTAGCTCTGACTCTCTCCCCACCACAGCGACCTGTCTTCTCAGCAGGCTCCCACAGCCGAGCTCTCTCTGCCTACTTATAAGGCAAACAAACAGCCCTTCTGCTGCTCTCAGACTTCACCGTGGTTCCCTGGCTGGCTCTACCTGAGGGCTCTCCGCTCATGAGCCTAACCTGCTTTGGCCGTGTGTGTCCTACTGGTTCCTAGCTCTGACTCTCTCCCCACCACAGCGACCTGTCTTCTCAGCAGGCTCCCACAGCCGAGCTCTCTCTGCCTACTTATAAGGCCGAACTCCGCTTCCTCCAGCATGGAGGCAATTAGCTAATCACCACCCCCCCCCCCGAGGGTGCCTGGCTCGTTGC